CCTGTTCGGGCACTCACTGGAGACACATCAACATTCTTGAGAGTTGAAATAGACTACTTGCTCTCCGATCTACAGAGGGGGAGTTAAAAATGACTCGAAGCGAACTGAATAGAAGGGGTTAAAACCCATCCTGTCGAATTTTCATATAATGGGCCTTCTATCCTTTTTAACTTACGTCCTCCATGGAAACTCCCTCCCAGTTTTCTCCACAGAGAGTAGTGTTGTATTCGTATTGACAGAAGGCTTGGAGACCAATACATACTACATAAGGTCAGCAGACAAGACAGACAACTATAGCAGTCAGTAAATCCCTAAAATAAATAATTCCATAAGCCTTCAACAGTGATGCTGACCTCATTGGTTTTACTGAGTACATCCTGGTTGAAAGCGCTAGGTTATGCATCTACGCCAGATCACGAATGGGTACTCCATGCTACTGATCTCTTGCAACTACTAGCTAGCATAGATCGGACACTTCTCAACACATTGAAGACCTTTCAAATATGTCTTCGAACTCAGTCATTTCTGACTTCTGATTTAACTGAGTTAGCATACCTTGGTTATAAAAGCGTTACAGATAAAGGCGTTGTCAAACACTGATTACGTATGTTATCTTCACAAACTACCACTTTATTCTCTGACAACTTGGCGCTTTCGCTGTAGATTTAATCCTTAGTTTCTTTTGAAATATGTGGATGTCTACACCCTGATATTCACAGTGTTCCCTCATGCTCTCTCTGCTAAAGATAAATAAATCTGTTGAACCCAGTACAGAGGCTAGTACCTAAGTAACCTACTGTGCTAAGGAACTAATCTGACGAATATTGTTCCCATCAACCTCACTTAGCTATGAGAGAACAAGAGGCGATCCAATTGTGATGTACAACATATTGAGTACGCCAACGTACCTCAGAACGGGTATTTTACAAATAAATCACTACCACACTGTTCGAGAGAACCCCAGAAACATTGTACATCAAAGCGCGAGAACACAGCCTTTCGTTTACTTTTTCTATCTAAGAGTTGCCCTGTAAGATCCAAACGTAGTTTGGATCTTACAGTTCTAAACAAATATATTTGGTCGAATTCGTTTCGCTTTCATTTCGTTGATTCCAATCATCGTCTCTGGGAATATCTGGTCGTTCGCTTGCGATGCCAAACAATCGTCGAAGGAAATTAAGTCCAAGGCTCGTGGATGTTAAAAGAGATGAACAAAAGGATGGATCCCCTCAATCAAGGCAAGTGCCTTCTGATGCTTCTATGTGTCATGGTTCATATTCTAATAGGGACGATTGTAATTATAGTGAATCTAGTTGTGATATAATGGCAGATGGCATAGAAAACCTTAATTTAGACGTGAAGCAAGCAAAAAGCGTAAGGCCAACGGCGTTTTTCATAGGTCCAGAGTTAGCAAAGGTTGAGTTAAGTTATTTCGACGGTCAACCAAGAGGTTACTGGAAGTTTTTAAGGGAGTTTGAGACCTATGTGGAATCAAGGGTCAAGGATGATGGTCAACGCTTGCTTTATTTGATACATTATTGTAAGGGTAAAGCGAAAACAGCCATTGAGGGTTGTGTTATGTTGGAAGCCTCTTTTGGTTACAAGAAGGCCAAGGAAATTCTAAAACGGTTGTTCGGACAGGCGCATGTAATCGCTCGGGGGACTTTAGAGGACTTATTCAAAACTACAAATGTTGATTACAGTGATCCTGAGCAACTAACGAATCTGGCTATTAGGATGGAAAATTGTTCTATGGTTTTGAAACAGATGAAGTATACTGCCGACTTAAATTCTCTATTTACCTTAGAGAGAATAGTAGGACTCTTACCTCAAGTTATGCAAGCCCAGTGGGCGGACTGGGTGGATGAATTGACTGAAGATAATAGAGAACCAACCTTTGACGAGCTTACTCAATTTATAGCATCCCGCGCGAGGGTAGCTAATAGTAGGTTTGGGCGGTTAGCGAAAAGTCCGAGAAAGCGACACAACTTGAAGACAAATTATCACTGACAATTGGAGCAGGAGAATAATTCGAAAGAGAGAGCTAAATGCAGTATGTGTTCCCTGGACCATGCTATTTATAAATGTCCAAATTTTTTAGCGCTTACCGTTCAAGAGAGATGGTCTCACGCGAAGGTTAATGGCATCTGTTTTGTCTGCCTTAGGCAAGTACATAAAGTTAATGAATGTAAGATGACAAGGCTCTGTAAGGTCGACAGTTGCGAGAGGAGACATCACCCTCTGCTGCACACTGACTCGACAAGCAACGTCGTAAATGATAAGCCATCATGCCCGGAATATAGGAAAAGAGTTGTTAATCATACCAGTAAGATGCAGGCATTAGAGAACGAAAGACGTAAGCCTTATGACGTAGAGTTTTCAGATGCTTATTCAAGTGATAAATCATTATCAGTAGACGACAAGGTGGCTATAAAGATTGTGGAAGGTGGCACGCGCTTCGGCAACGGTCATTTTGTAGTTTCTATATTTTGGAAAAAGAATCCAGATATGAGAGTGGATAATTATGAAGTAGCAAACCGTAGATTACAAAGTTTGAAGGGTATGTTGTCGAAGGATGTCAGTCTGCACATCAAGTATATCAAAAGTACTGAAAGTGATTTTACTAAGTCTTATTCGGAGAGGGTCTTTGAAATATATCTGCAGTCTTATTATCGCCCTCGATGGTATTTACCTCATCGTGCAGTATTAAACATGAAAAAACCAGATTTTAGAGTGGTCATTGATTGTGCCGCCCAGTTTGCAGAGGTTCCCCGGAATGATATGATTTATCAAGAACCCGATACCACCGCTGAGTTAATGTGTATATTATTAGGTTTTCGCAAGGAGGCAGTTGCAATCCCTGCAGATGTTGAAGAAATGTTCATGCAAGTGAATGTTCCTGAGTCTGATCGAGGAGCTTCAAGATTTCTGTGGTGGCAGGAGGGGGACATGTCGAGAGAACCGTCTGAGTTTCAAATGACAACTCATGCATTTGGTGTCACATCATCGCCGTTTCGTGCGAACTTTGCTTTGAATAAGACGACCCAAATATTCTTTGACGGTTATGATGGTTATGTTGTAGATGATGTCAAGAATAAGTTCTATGTTGATGATTGCTTGATATCCATTTCCACTTGTGATCAAGCAAAGAGTTTCGTTAAGCAGATAAGTGAATTATTATGTAGAGGAAGTATACAAAAAATGACCGATCTTGAATCTTGGTTCAAATACCCTACTTTATTGCATGGCGAATTTTATATAACAATCACTGACTGTCCGGAACCTACTCCTGACGATATTGAATTTAGAAAAACTGTGGTTAACTTGAGTAGTATAAGGTACAACATGACACCCATTCTCTCTTATTATTCCGAGTGGTTGAAATTAGTCAGAGCTGTAACCTGGTTTAGAAGGTTCATCGATTTCCTGATGGTACTTCGTTTACCGAGTTGTGAAGGATCCGTTCATCTAGGATGTTTAAAGGTCAAAGAGCTTGAGATTGCCAAGCGTAAGATTTTATTGATGGTTCAGAGAGAAGTGCATGGAGAATTACTTAGTGAATTTAAGAACAGCAGTAAAGTAGTAAGCCATGATGATCTGAAAGGTTTATCGTTGATGATGCTTGATGGGTTACTCTGCGTTGGAGGTCGACTAAGATACTCAGATTCCCCAAATGCCTTTAAACATCCAGTAATTTTACCCAGTCGACACTTAGTGACGGAAATGATTATTAGACATTGTCCTAAAGAACAAGGACACATAAGAAGATCATTAGAAAAAGGGTATGGATATGTGTTTTCTTGTTTGCAAACATGGGCAGTACATATTGAAATGATGTGTAGTTTGATTACTGATTCATTTGTAATGGCCTTATTACGTTGTATTGGAAGAAGAAGGAAACCTCCGGAGATTTACAGTGACAGTGCGTCAAGCTTCGTGTGGGCAGTTTCTGAGTTAAGGAAGTTAGTGCAACAGTCGAATCAGCAGAAGATAAATAGTGAATTGTCAGCGAGGCCCTCATCCAACAGCATGGGTGGAGTTTGGGGAAGAGTGACTAAGTCTATACCACGAGTGTTATTGTTGAACACCAAAGGGCAAGTGAAACAGGTCTCTTTGAAGCTTCGGATTAGTCTTTGTTGTTATTAATGTAGGTAGGTCGAGTAGGCGTACTGTTGTAAGTCCTACTCGTTCCTATAGTGTGATATGTTATATAATGAACCATGACCGTAGGCATCAAGGTAGCTTGTGTGGTATGGAGGGATTTTGGTGGCCGGTGTAAGATCTTACAGCCCCTGCATATGAAATGCTCTCCTAGTCAAAGTGATCATAGTCATCCAGTAAAAAATCTCAAGAGGAGACTTGATAGACACGTTCTCACTCGTAGATTACTGTCTTTCACTTGGACTAGTTCTGTCTAATGGTTGTCATGACACCTACCTACTGTTAAAATTATAACATGCCATTATTCTTATGACGTCCGATCTATGGTAATCGTATAAACTGTGAGTATTAACGAAATAAATGCAAATGATATCAAAAACTATTCACAAAATAAGTTTTTCATGCCCATCTTTATGCATCTATGCCTTCCTTATAGTCGTGTATCCACTTCCAATCAACTGACTTCGTTATTTATTATTCATTTGAAGCGATTGTCTTCTCGTAGCATTAGCATTTTCTACACATTATTTTTCAAGTTACGAACAACCTTCTGCCTGTTTATGTGATAGCTGCCGATTCTGGGAAGTTTATTGGATTGGGAAGAATTCATTCAGATTACAAAATACATCAACCCATACATAACTAATACTGAGCTGACTGGAACCAGTAAGGTGGCAAGACTATCGCTGATGGAACACTACCAATTACACAGGCTTGTGATGAAACAATAAGAAACTAATGCAAACAAGGCTTCTGATCACAACAGCTTGTCACAAAGCTGTTGGGTACATTAAAAACCGATGTGAACATTGGATACGTTTGATATAAGAGGCCTTCTCAAATAGGTTCGTTACAATATGCTTTTCGAAAAGTCATTAACATGTGACTTTGATGATATCAAATCCGAGGAAGTTCTCATTCTTTTTCCTGTTTTGTATCAGTCCGGTGACTTAATGCAATGCATTTCAAAAGTTTCAATGACATATAATCTTCGTCATCTTCTGGGTAATCTAATCAACACTTTGAATTCCCTTAGAAGTGTGAAAATCCCTATACTATGGGAAGAAACATGCACCGAATATTCTCTGTCGTAAGTGCTGTTTTTTCTTAGATCACGCGATGTAGTTCCATTCCTTCATTTCCTTCCCTCGCTCTAAATTACGAATCACAAAATGCTTTGGGGAAGTTAAAAACACTCATGCTCCTTATCATTCATTTATGCAACGATGTGAGTTAATTTGAATATTCTAGTTCTTATATTTAGAAGCCAGATCCAAAATGTTCGCTAGAAAGCTGTTGCGAACTCATGGAAGCTGAAGCTCTGGAAACTGAAGTTTTTATTATCTTATGTTTTATATTTCATGGTTAGTTCATATAGATATCAAATATAACTACAAGGTCTTTCGAATTACCACTTAGTTGGGAAGTTCTTTTGTGGTTATTTGGCTCACTGTAATACTGTCAATCACAGTATTTTACTGAAGTTGGCAGTTAACTTACCCTCTGATTGGTGGCCTATAGTCCACGAATTATGGAAGCTGGGGAAGTCTCTTACAACCAAGTATGTCTTCCAACTGTTCTTTAATGTATTTCAGATCCTGCTGTCAGGGTGACAATTTGCAAGATAAGGATGGGATCCAGCGTATTCCGCATACCAAGTCAAACGTTGGAGCCCATTTAAACCCATTTTCATTGTCATGTCGTATTCAAACAGTTTTATTTTACCTGGTAAAATTAAACCCACACGATGCCGTTACAGTAGTGGAGAATTGCGTGAGTTTTTTCATTTAAGATATTCGAAGTAATTTACACTCCTATAATCTATTTTATTAAGACTGGGTCACTATTATGCATTTGAAGTTACTGTGTTAACAAAAGTAGCGTTGAAATTCAAGAAACATAAGAGGTTGTTCTTTCTTAGCAAAGCAATTCACGTACCATCTTAACAATAGTGCATTTTCACGAGTAATTGATAACTTAGCTTAACGACCTATCATAACAAAAATTACTGAATTTACCCATTTATCTGTAGTTCTTCTGGAAAACTCCGATCACAGTTTACTAAAGGTATATTCCTTATTCTTTCCTGGAACTAAAGTTTGTCAGTCCATTTGTAGAACTTTTAGCTTTAATACCCTATAATAAAACCTAGTTAAATTGTTTGACGGTTTCTCAGTCATATATAATGCTCTTCATCTCAATTATACTCCTCCGTACTGCTTATTGTCTATCAGGATTCGACTCGTGTTCTATATTTATTCTATATTTGTTATTACACAGTTTCGAAAACCACATACCTCACTGAGATCCCGAAATTTGATCTTGAAAACCTAAGTTCACAGATTGTTTGAATAGCACCGTGCCTAAGACTCGTGTCTATGCAATTGTTAGCTATGCTTACTTCCCTTTATAATCTAGAATTCCGTATCAGTTCGTGATGCGCCATTCAGTACGTTGGAAGTGTTTAATTATATTGGACTTTGGATCTAGTTTTGTTACTTATACCTGTGGAATGATGCTTGCAACTGAAACATGTGGCTGCGTATACTTTTTGTTTTCAGATTACCACCCGTCAGTTTCCAGGCTTAGTTTTGGATTTACTTTTTGGATTGATCAATAAAGAGGGTTATACCTTGAATTTTTTGAAGAGGATTTTGCTAGACAGTGGACAAGACATTCGATCTTGGATGAGCAATTTTCTGAAGCTTCCAGTAAGCGTCTCCGAGTTTCTTACTTATGTTTTTAATAACGCAGATATCTTTATAAAAAAACTTGATTTATATATGCACAGCTAATCCATTAAATCAATCTATTTATTCTAAGATTTTAGTTTCTCTGAACTTGGGTTCTTGGGCTTAAGCTGCAGTTAGTATCCACGTTAACTAAATTGAATCACAAGTTATTTTGTTTTATACCCTTGGGAGCATTAGATCATCGAAGGAAAAATTAAAGCCTTTTCTCATATCCTTCTCATTGTGCACAATGTGACAACACTATATATGGTAAATTGTCGTTACAATCGGTAACTTGATAAAGCGAAGTTGTAAATTTTGTGTTGGTTTGGAAGGAGTCTAGTCCATGCAAACGTAGTTGTCTTTCGTTTATATGAGTATATAGAATAAGTTTTCATCGATCAGGACTTTTACCAAATATAAAATAATATTCACATCGAAACAAACCAATAAGGTATAATTGTTAGGAAAATGTACATACAGCTTGTCAATGAGGAATGAACTTGTTTTTAATTGCATTATTGGGTAAAGTAAGGTCCATCAGTGGAGTGATTTCATGTTAGTGCAGCTAATTAGTGTTTTATTAACATAAAGGTTAAAGGATATGTAACCTTGAGATGTATAAAATCGGTTATTGTATTTGATGATAATATTGCAAATAAAATTAAATACTGTAATTACAAGGTAGAAATAATTCTGTTTTACTGAAAAAAATGGGTTGTTTATATGAGATATAGTCAATTACTTCCGTAAATCGTATTTCATGTGTACCTAAAAAATCTTGCTAAAATGGATACAGTACTTAAACTTCGGTTGTGTTGACTCGACCATGTAAAGGAAAAAAAAGAGCGGACATCTGTAAACATATTTGAAAACTATGAGTTTGGTTTTAAAATTAATTCTGGGACGAACGTCTTCATCCTCCAAATTTAACAAAAAGATCGGTTAGTATCCATTACTGATTGAGGTAAATGGGATGGAATTAAGAGTTGCTCTAATGAAACAAACCAAAGACCCATGGGTAGCATATTATGTAAGTAAATGAGCAACTCACTGTTAAAGTTTGTTTGCGGTTAAAGTTGATTTATTTTTAGCATTTTCCACACCATATTTTTTGACGGCCTTTTACTGTGCAACATTATATACCTAAACTCATAAAGTACTTCGATTTTGAATTAGAATTTTAACAAGATTCCTCAAATGTGCTCAATATTGGGTGTTTGTAATGTCAGGTTTCAAAAAATTTAATCAGTAAGCATGTGCACGGTTTGATTATTTATTCGGAATTAGTTATTTATAGACGGAAATACAATAAGATATTCTTTAGATCCAGATTACATGTATTTAATGATTTCTGTTGTCTCTAATATACCCATGGATTTCAATATGGCTTTTTTTCACCATAAAATTTTTCAGTCTTCATCATGGTACTTGGATAAGCTAAGCCATCATTTTATAAAAATCACTTCTTGCCTTATACCACGTGATTCTTCAATTCCTTTGGATGATAACACGATTCTCACTGCGTTAACATTACTTCGTGTGTTAGCTGCATTTCGTGGTTTTATAAATTACAAGTGAGTTGTTTCTTCATTTCCCCTACTATTGTTTTTAATTCATAGCTTAAGCAATAAGCTAAAGAATAACAAATATTTGTGTAGTTCAAGGTAATGTTCTCATTAATTTTTATTTCGGCGCGGCAAATATACTACTTAATACTCCCTGGTAGTATAATTTATTTATTTGGAATTTAAGTTTCCTCTCAGCTTCGCGCAATCCACTCTTAAAAAAGTAACCGATTGGTTTTCGAAGTACTTTTGTCGGTAAATCATTCTTGATATTTCTTGTTTCACCATATTCATTTGCCAAACTTACTATGCCTTGGATATGTTAAGTTCTTCAATGAGTAGTATTCTGTTTGTTTGGAAACAAACTAATTTATATTGAAAATCTTTTACTATAACTAGGGCTTTTGGTAATAAAAATAAATGTTGCGAAGAAAGATTTCTTTTTAATTGGCTTTATATCGTAGCTATATATATATATATATATATATATATATATATATATATATATATATATATATATATATATATATATATATATATATACATATATAACAATTATAATTTAGCATCAGTTAAGTGGTAATATTGAGTAATAGTACGTTATATTAATTCCCCGATGATTATGAAAATGATATTGATTGCTTGATCGAGTAATTAAAGTGGGAAGGGGTATGAGATAATCGCAATAACCAAAGTAACTATCCACAAATGAGTCTAAGAAGAGGTATTTTCATATAAATCTGGGATTTAAAGTTGATTACACATCCCAAATACTTCAGGATGGTTTGCCTTTGACAATTAAAAAAACATCTTTACTAGAAAACTACGATAACCTTTAACAAGTGGGAGAATATTTTCCATATCTGTGGAGTGTAAACTCCTCTGTCTGTTTATTTTCGTGTTCATCCACTAGTTCACCCATGGAGTAAGGTAGTTGAATTGTAGCCAGCACCCTTTCAACATGGATACGAGGGTAATATTCAAGCTTGGCTTTACAAGGAAGGATGGAGTGTGGTTAGAATCTCCATCTCCGAAGATTTGATCGACTTTAGTTTGTTTATATAATCTTTCGAAATCTACCATGATTTCATCGTATCTGACTCCTTAATATCGTAGAAGCTCCTTTCATCCGTGATATGAAGCCTGAAATTTGTGTTTACGAGAAGTGTTTCATCTTTTTCTGTACCGTGCTTTAACCGAAGAATATTATTAGTTGTTTTATTCTTATTTGTTTGATGTTTTAATTTACAAAGGCCGCTCTTTCTGTAATTATTTTCTTCATATCTACTTGGATTTGACTCCTAATTGCTACCTATCCCTCTAATGCCTTTACGATCAAGAAAAAAAAACATTTTAGTTATTTTACTCTATTCACACGATAATCTATTGTTACCTTATTTCTTTTACACTTGTTCTTTATTTGTGATTGCTCTATAGAAATTACATAGCCTTATATTTTCAATTACACTATTTTGCATAGTATTAAAATGTTCCAATTGTATCATATTTGTGCATTGTTCAAGTGTCGTCTTGAAATTAATCTTTATAATCTTGTAAATAAACCAGACTATACAGCTTGATAATAAGTCTGTTGTAGAGAGATCACTTTGCTGAATTTTGTGTGCTTGTAAAATTGGTTAAATAACTATGATAACAAGTCAGTTATGAATTAAAATCACGTCACAATTATGTAAAAACAAGGAAAGCAAAAAAAAACGAAATGGCAAACCTATCTAGATCTGCTCTGGTAAAACAGGATTGTATATATTAATGTAGAACCCTGATAGAAAGTCTAATTAAAATAAATTTCTCCTGCTCCATTTACTTTTTATCAAATGTCTGGATGAAACTTTTATCTTCTTGCTTGGTTGATTAGAAATTCAACCAGTTTTTAATTGTAAATATTTTCCAAGTTGTTTATTAATTTCTTTCAGTTACCTTAAAATGATGTAAGACGTTATTATTTAATTTTATGCTTCATATGAAGTGTTGTTTCGGATACAAACTGTATAACAATTTGATCCTCATAATTTTCCATTTGAATGCATAAGGCTGATTGAAATTGTGTACCAAATATTTTCAAGCTCTCATGTAGTTGTGTTCCATATTGTTTACATGGTGTATGGCAATATTTCTAGCATATCTTAGTTCAACTAACAGAGTGATCTGATTCTTTTGATAAACTCATCAATATATTAGTTGATTAGCATTACTGACATAGTTACATAGTAACCGGAATTTTAATTATTTAACTTCTTCAGTTAAAGTATTTGTTAAACTGCAACTGTTTTAATGTCTTTCGGGACTAAATTTTCAGTAAATACTCGTGTTTTTAGACGGGGTTGGATAGTGTCTAACAGTGGAATCTAGGTCATCTGTTTCGCTCTATTCGAGACTCGTCAGCTGGATATACCCACATTCTTGTGTTTATATTCACTCCAGGACTTGAACTCAATGCCCTTCGCTTCAAGTGTTAATGCTTGATCCACTTAACTGTTTAGTCCAAACAATAACAGGTTTGTACAACGGGTGTCAACCATAATTCAGTTGATCAGTAGCTTTTAGCATGTGTTCATCCTGAGTAAACTACCTGGATATTGCCATCAGTCACAAGTATTCTCCAAAGCGAAGGCGATCCACTCAGGATCCATATATACTAAAAGAGACTGATCAATTACAGACCTTAACACTAAGGACAGAAAGATTCAAACCCTTGCAAGTGAATTATAACATTAGTTTATTTTGAGATAAATTCTGCTTGGTATGCTTCATATTTGAAAGTAGAGCGAGTTGGTGAATAGTAAAACTGGTTGTACAGAAAACTAGTTTTGTACTTTGACACCTATTTTTCCATTTTAGACGCATTTTTGATCCTGATTTACTATATTTAAGATTTAATTACATTAATTACATAATTTTTGTTGTGTCACACACACACACAGATCGATCTTAAGGTATGGGGATAAAATCAAACAGCTAACTTTAAGTCAAACGATTTAATTATACTGCCAATAAAGTTGAATTTTATTTATTTAAACACATAAATGTTGGTACAAAAGGATATTAAAATAGTATATACGCCACGCAATAAAAATGAGATTGTGAAGAAATCGAGAAAGGGGGTGAGTATAATAAAAAAAAAGAACAAAAATGAATCGAAATTAGTATATGGGAGGTGAAAATAATAATAGTAATAGTAATTGTTATAATAAAAGGAGCAATTCATTCAAGAAGTTCCTCTACTAAGTAAGCTAAAGATTACATCAGGACTAGTACTTGGTTTTATTCTGAGTCACGTCTATTTATTTATTTATTTGAACACATAAATATTGGTACAAGGGGGCACCAAATATATATGAGTCACAAAAAACAATGGGAATAGGAAGAGAAGAAAGAAGGCAAGGTACGTATAAGGACAATAACGACCACAGATTAGTGTAAGGTAGTGTAATAATAATAATAATAATAATAATAATGACGGAAATGGAAGGATACAACCAGAAGAGTTCTTTCAGTTAAGGAAGATACAGCCACTTTTTATGAAAAAAGTAAAATAAGTTTACAGAAGGGTCGCCACTGGCTTCTATTCTGAGCCACTGTGTAGCACCATCTCTAGGACCCCAGCCAAGGAGTCGATAAGGACCAACAGAAGCCAGCCCTTTGCAACTTTCCTTCATATCACGAAACCATGTCATACACCGACCACCTCTCCGCTTCTCCCAACCAGTTCCAGTGTCGACAAATAATGTACAACGTGGAATTATCTGGAACGACATTCGTAGAACATGTCCGAGTCACCGAAATCGATGTTTCAAGATGTTGGCACCAATTGCATTATTGCCTCTGCTCCCGAACACACGATGCCTAACCTCTGGATTACTAACATGGTGTTGCCACTGGATGTCAGCAATCCTTCGGAGATAACGATGATCAAACACAGAGAGTCGTCTAACATCCTCAACTCGGAGAGGCCAGGTTTCACAAGCACAGAGCGAAACTGCTCTCACCGACGCGTTGTAGTCCCGACCTTTTACAACCAGACTAACATCACGAAGGCGCCAATGATGGTCCAGATTGGCATAAGCTACTCTGGCTTTCACTATATGTGCATTGATCTCATCACTCACGCCACCACCAACACTTATGCAGCTACTTAGATACACGAACCTCTCGACTACTTCTATGTGCTCACCATGCAGGGTGAGTACAGGATTAGAATCCTGCCGGTCTTGTAGAAATACTTTGCACTTCAAAGGTGCAAAGCACATGCCGTACCTACGGACATTGATTGCCATCTGATAACGTGTCAAGCTACTGTGACACTGTCTCTGGGGCCCCAGCTAGGGAGTCGAGAATGACCAACAGATGCTTATCCTGTATGTGTACAGGTGTTGACGTATGCTAGTGTTTGGGTTATTTAAAGATTTGTGAAACAAATCTATTTGTTGCTCATTTATCTCAATTTGTTTTTTCTTCGAAATGAATTCTTTTCTATAGTTGGCTATTTCCATGTTAACTGTCAGTCATTATTCCATCTAAAATCACTTAACCGATGATGGGTAGCTAGGTCGACACCAGATACTGACTATTGAAGACTTTTTATTTGGTTTATCGAAATATTAGCACCGTTGTAACTCTGATCTGTATTCTTTGTGTTTTATATTGGAGTTTTAGCTGATAATAACACTAGTTGTCAGCTTAAATGATGTAAATTTGAACCGTTGATAAAATTATCTAATTAATGAGTCATTATTGAATTGAACACAATCCTCTTTCTCCTTTGATCTCTAATCTCAGTGGATATAATTGTAAGCATTAAAAGATGTTGAACTTAACAGGGTAGATCATTAGGTTTTTTAAATTGTCTCACATTTATTTTCAATGTTCAAAAGCTTTGTGATGGGATTTTTATTCAATATTACTTCCGTCCTTTTTAATTCACTGTGTTGATTACTCAGTAGTAGTAGTAGTAGTATTTGTTTTATTTTCCCAGTATGGTCATTTATTCTGTATAACTATTTGCTATGATGGAATGAAAAGTCAAAATTCGATTGATTTGCTCATTATGATTTTTGTTCAATAATACTTCCTTTCTGATTCAATGTAATGGTTAGTCAATGTAGTATTCGGATTTCTTTTCTCGTATGATATTTTATTCTGTATAATATACGATATTCTTGTATTCCATTGACATGAACTATGCTCTATATGTGATTTCATCCTAATTATGAATCAAAGTGTGTGTACAATCAATATACAAAATGAGTGTATTTCCGGTTGGGAAAAATAAGATTCTCTGATACAACAGAGCATTCATCAATCGGATCACACTTGACGAAGAAGCTTTGGAAGATGTAAAAACCGTTACATATCCGGGGAGCATCATTGATGAATATGATGGATCTGATGCAGATGTGAAAGCGCGAATCAGCAAAGCAAGAACAGCATATTTACAACTGAAGAACATTTGGAACTCAAAACAACTGTCAATCAACACCAAAGTCAGAATTTTCAATACAAATGTCAAGACAGTTCTACTGTATGTGGGGAACTACGAAAGTCATCATCTAGGAGATATAAATGTTTATTAACAGTTGTCAATGCAAAATACTTCAAATCCGTTGGCCAGACACTATCAGTAACAACCGGCTGTGGGCGAGAACAAACCAGATCCCAGCGGAGGAAGAAATCAGGAAAAAGCGCTGGATAGTGGATAGGACACACATTGAGGAAAGCACCCAACCGCGTCACAAGACAAGCCCTCACATGGAATCATCAAGTCCAAAGGAAAAGAGGAAGACCAAAGAACACATTACGTCGGGGAATGGAAATAGACATGAGAAAAATGAACAAGAATTGGATGGAACTATAAAAGAAGGCCCAGGACAGAGTGGGTTGGAGAATGCTGGTCGGCGACCTATGTTATATTGGGAGTAAAAGGTGTAAGTAAGTAAGTATTTTCGACTAGGGTCTTCGTCGTGTTTTGGCGGTTAATAAATTCTCACTTATATCAGTCCTTGTCCTCTTACTTTCGCATCGTGGAACTTGTCGAGGTTCCTCGTTTTGAGTGTAAGTGATAAGCGTTTCCGACACAACAATCAGCGATGGCCAGATATGACAAGTGGCGTTCAATCCACAAGACTTATCAGTGGCGACGGGTGAAAAAAAGAACCAAGTCACATTGTAAACTGGTTCTGTACTGAGAGTTATTTGAATACTTTTTTATTAGTTATAATAAATATATTATTGTCATTATTTGAAGTAGTGTTTTGTCATCTTTCTGCAAAATTATTTCAGTTTCCCACCAGAACTGTCGCAAAAGTTATTGATTCTTCTAACACATCGAACAGTTGTTTCTGAACGTGGCTTACAATATATCAGTTATTCGCTCGCATTCTTAATTGGGTTACGTTCAAGTTTGGCAACAGGGTAAGTTATTTATTTATAAATTACAAAAAATTATTGTTTCATTGTAGTAAGGATTTTAAGCATATCATGGCACTAACTATAAAAGAGCACCATATTCATTAGACTGATTATTAAACAACAACTGATAACTTTTTGTTACATATTCTCCTGGTGAGCTGATATCATTCCATTCAAAGTCAGTCAGTCCATTCAAAGACTTGCATTGTTAAGGAAACTGTTCATAAGCAACTTTCACTCTACATTGGGAGGATGTTCAGTGACTTAAGAGGATAGGAGAAGGCTAGTATCATCTGAGCCAAGATATGGGATCAGTTCTCAAGGTCATTAAATGTTTGTCTGAGTTTTGTAGGCAGATGCAGACTTACTAATTGGGATCCCCCTGATTATCGTGATAAATAGTTGACGTTAGATGATATGGCTTGGAGTTAGTTTCAAATAGTCAATATACATTCACTCTTTGTCTTCCTTTAGATTTCGAGTTTCAAATTTATCTCAAATTTTATGCCGTGAATTAATCCTTTCTTCTCAAATGACATTGTATGTATATAATCCTTTCTACTATTGTAATGTACGAATGAGTGCAGTCCAGGTTGACTGCGTAATATTATATGCGATCCTACTATCTATGAGGACAGGAACAACTATAATTCCCACGACGTGAAATGTGAACTTAAAGTTTGGTGTAAACGAAGATTTATTGTCTCTTCAAAAATCGTTACCTCAAAAACTCCCAAAATCATGTGATTAGATCAAAATACATTTGTGTTATAAATTTTACACACAAGAATATGACATATAGGGGAAAATACAGAGTTATTGTAGCAACACACATTAAATATAGTTCAAATGAATAGGTACAGGGAATCTAATCTTCATACTAAACGGAAAGTTATCATTTGTCATATAGAAGTTTATACTGGATTGTTACCAGAAATATTAACCTGGAAACGTCACTGAACAAAAGTTCACATATCACCTTGGTCTAAATTCATAATGAATTCGATACAAAAACTGTTGACCTAAATGATGTCATCTTGTTTTACCTCATCATGTCAAAGCATAATATTTCTCATTCATAATAACAGTATTTGTTTTCTTTTATTCTACTTACAAATATTGATTTCTTCGTGATATTCAATTTAACTCTAATCCTGAACTGATTTCACCCTATTACGTGCAGAATATCTTCAGATACTAATGGCGTAATGCACAATAATAGTCGTGTTCCTGCAAATACAACAGATATTGAAAATACAATTGTAACTTGGCTCCAACGTTTAATAGATGAACAAGATATTTTCAATTCACTAACTCAATCATCATCGTCATCTTATCTGCGTAATTGTAATCAATTTTCAAAAACAACGTCGTACATTGAACCTTTACTGCTTTTAGCTATCTTATTTCATACAAATCAACCTGGACCAATTACTGAACTAATATCAACTTTACTTGGTCTACGTATACCATCACTTGGACGAACTATCAATGGATGGCGTAAATTATTTTTCCAAACTGTTTTTACAGAAAATGTAAGTTTTTTTAAAATCATTATCATCATAATACATTAACAATCCATACATACTATTGTTTAAAGAAACACATTATTTATTTTGTTCAATACACTAGGTGGTTACCTGTTGGGACTTAAATAGCTTGAAGAACCTAGATAAAGTCTGAAGGTGTAAGATAACTCGCGTGTAAACACTTGACTATTTTGTTTGGCCTAAAAAAATAAGTCATTAGATCACCATGGAAACCTGGAAGCACTGCATGGCCGTTTCGTCCTACCGTGGGACTCTTCAACAGTGCGCATCCACAATCGAACCTAGAACCTATCAGTATCACGCGCGAGCGCTTAACCACTAGACCACTGAGCCGGTATCTAACACTGTTAGTGTCTAACTTCAATCAATCCACCAAATTGAGCGACACATCCATCATTGTCTTCAGTGAGTTACTATCTCACAATTGACCCAGTTGAACTCCGCTGGTCACTGCTTCTCACTAGAACTTCAGGAAATACCTCTTGAAATCAGTCACTAGTGAGCATATATTAATTCATATCGAAAGGGTTTTTGTGGACATTATAGAAATTGTTAATTTACTTATAGTTTTTAAGTATTAACAATGTTATACACAATTTCAATATATATCGTAATAAACCAAGTTTCATATCAGCTCTTATGTAAGTGGATACACATTTTATGTAATTAATCAGTTGGATGAAGTATTCATGAAAGATCTTTTTAAGAAAAACGGTTCTGCTTCTATATCCTGTTTTATGTTTTCGTTAAAAAAAATCTATTTATGCAGATGATTGCTAATCAAGTTGCACGAATTCCAATTACGCCAAAATTGAGTCGACATTTAGTTGGTCACTTACCAACTCAATGTATGCTACAATTACTTAAATCGCATGCATTTGCTAAAAATAAACTACATACTAAGGTAAGATATATCTATTTATTTATTTATTTATTTATCTATATCTCTCTATTTTTTTGATATCTTTTATTTGAAAAAAAAGACCCTGCCAAGACAACTCTGGCGTGTTTAATTTCAGATACTGATTATTGTTATACATTGATAAATGTCTTGTTTTTGTTCATTTTCTTTTATTAACTAAATAATTACAATTAGATTCATTGGACACTTGCCAAATTTTTAAATTTTACATAGATAATGGTTAAGTTACATGATTTTATGGTTAGTTCGTATAATTTGTAAGTAGATTTCATTATGAATTGATATGAAGTTATCCAAGTCGAAATTCAGAATGTAGCACAGTTATGATTATTGAAGCAGAAAATCTGAACCAATTTTCTACGTTTGGTGGTCCTAATATTAGCGGAACAACGCTTTGAAGATACTTATAATCAAATACTGATAACCTACGTATACACTCTATTTTTAAAGACCACGTTTCACAGCCATAAAGCAGATCGAGACGAACTACTGGCTTGTATACTCGTCCTTTAGTTAGATAGGCATCTCATGTACAATATGCTTTCTGAATTTGTGCTGAAATGTCGTTAGACACCAATGTACCAGAACTAATGAAACTTTAGAAATAACTAGAGCGGTCTGTTTGTTCATCCATTTCACTCCCTATCATTAATTTAGGCTTTGTTGTGGATCAGTCTTGAAGCAGCATTTTACAGTCATAGAATAAGATATGCCTAGACTGTTAGTTAATACGATCGCTAGACTATATTTTTCAGTTTTCACCAAACTGGATTGTAATTTTTGTGTGTTCTAAGTCTATAGGAGATCAATCCTTTCAGTCAAGCAAAGAACGTATTCTTCGTAAAAGTTTTTCTATGACGATGTTGAATAAGCATATTAGGACAATCGGCAGCCTCCACAGAAGCACTTAAAGTTTTTGGTTCTCATGAAACTTCACCGTAAGCTTTGATTTAGCCCATATCTGGAATGTGAACTCACTAGCGAAGTTACTAATTCATTGAAGTATCTTGGGTATTCGTATGTAATAACACGCATATTTTCACCAGTATTTAAATAAGCTTGTTCTACTGTTCATTGATTTTTGTTAATGCTAATATCTCTGTCACTAATGTAATAACTTGGGTGTAATTTCAAATTTTATCTATTTATTTTTCATTGTAGAAATGGATTATTGGACAGATACGTGAAAGTGTACGTCCAATTCATCCATTGCTACCAGAATTATTAGAAGCACATATTACGCATTCGTTTACTTCCAATTCTAACAATTCATCATCATTGAATAGTGATATCCCCAGTATTACTAGTAGTATTAGTAGCAGTACTATTACTACCAATCCTACTGCTTCAACAGCTTATATCAACTTATCATTAATTTCTGAACAGGAATTAATCAATGAATTCACAAATTCTAAATCTTCTAATTTGATTCAATTTTGTGCACCAGGGATTCATTTACAATCGAAAATTAATCATAAATCTGTAAATCGTTTATATATTTCAACTACAGAACAAGATTTTACTCCGCAATTATTATTCTTATATTATGCATTTTTTGTTTTCGATTATCAGTTCAATTTACGTTTAACATCTAATCGACGTAAGTTTATGAAAATGTGACATTATGCTACATTACTGCTTCCATTGATTATGCAATGAAATTTTTACTGGTTTTTTATTACCGACGCAAATTACAATTTAAATGTGTATAGTTTATGTATGACATTCATTTTGTGATGTAGTTTATACATTTTATTACTCCTCTAGAATTTGTTGAGAACTGTGAATGCAAGTTATTTAGTTCAAGGCAGAATTTCGAAAGGGAACAACCGGCGACTTTTGCATAACTCAGTACCCTGTTGGATGAATCTAGCGTCTCCGTTTTTTGTTGGGATTAATCTGTGGGTTAGCAGATATGGCCAATAAAATGATGGAAATCCATCCGGATAATCATAGTTTAAACTCAGTACAAACTACAGCACCAACGGATAAAGTTAGTACAGTCATGTTCCAACAACAACAATAACAACTAACGGAACTGGCAAATTAACTAGCAGAATTACAAGCGACAATAGCCACGGTACTAACCAATCGATACAGATCACCGGCTAGGCAAAGATACTTTTCAAGGCAGCGTTCATGATCACCTAAACAAGCCACCGGGATCTGTTGGTACCACTGAAGATACGGCACAAAAGCACGGCGTTACACACGACCGTGGGCGTTTACACCAACCAATAACGAGAAATCGGAAAACGTGCCGGCCAGACAGTAATGGCGACGCCTGTTACTGGCCACAACACTAGCCGTCTTTTTCATATCCAGGACTGTATTTCTGGCTCAGATTTGTTTGGTCGAAACAGGAGTAGAAATCAGCATAATCCCACTTGAACTTTCACGACGACGGCACACCATGAGTACCAAATTGTCACTCATCGCGGCCAACGAAACGGTCATCAAAACCTATAGAGAGCAATCTCTCATTTTAGACCTCGAACTCCGAGTTCTTATAGTTGCCTAGGTCAAACAACCTATTCTCGGAGCCGACTTTCTCAGCGCCTACGACCTCCTAGTAGACATGAATAAAAAGAAGCTGATCGACAAAAATACACGTTTACAGGTGATTGGTACAATCACTACCAACTATGAGATTCACGGTGTAGGAATAATAAAACCAGTGAACAAAGCTTTCACCGACGTCTTGTCGAAATACGAATGCATCACAAGAGTTGATTATCAAAATGATTGCACCTTACACCATGTCCAACACCACATTACTACTACTGGTCCACCTATATACGCTAAGTCGAGAAGACTACCACCACACAAATAACCGATTGCAAAGAGAGAATTCGAACATATGATGCAACTAGGCATCATCAGGCAGTCTAGTAGCCCATGGGCTTCGCCTTTACACATGGTTCCCAAGAAACATCAGGACTGACGCCCATGTGGAGATTATCGACGTTTAAATAATCAAACTACTCCAGATAGATATCCAATTTCTCATCTACACGATTTTTCTTAGAATCTACACGGAAAGCAAATTTTTTCGAAACTAGACATTGTGAGAGCATATCATCAAATTCCGAAGGCACCGGAAGATATTGAAAAAAAAGCAATTATCACACCTTTTGGTTTGTTTGAATTCTTAAGTACTGCAACGAGTCAACGACATTATTGTACTTATAATCAGACGAAACGTTCCGTGATGAGTTTTGTGGTGACTCGGATTCCCGGATGTGGAAGTTTGCATAAATGTTGAAATATCTGTCGCCGACAAGCTTTTGGTAAAAAGGGGCGCTTGTTGCCAGTTGAAACGTTGCAAATGATAGATAAGTCTGAGAATTTGAGGCGCTTTAGTGCAAAATAAATAGCTAGTAGTTCCCGTCCGAATTTACTGTGACATTTCTGTGCAGGCGACAGTCGTTTGGAGAAAAATGCTTTAGGTTTAAATAATGTCGTTGACTCGTTGTTGCAGTGCTCTGGAATTTGATGATATGCTCTCACAATGTCTAGTTTCGAAAAAATTTGCTTTCCGTGTAGATTCTAAGAAAAATCGTGTAGATGAGAAATTGGATATCTATCTGGAGTAGTTTGATTATTTAAACGTCGATAATCTCCACATGGGCGTCAGTCCTGATGTTTCTTGGGAACCATGTGTAAAGGCGAAGCCCATGGGCTACTAGACTGCCTGATGATGCCTAGTTGCATCATATGTTCGAATTCTCTCTTTGCAATCGGTTATTTGTGTGGTGGTAGTCTTCTCGACTTAGCGTATATAGGTGGACCGGTAGTAGTAATGTGGTGTTCCGTTGGTTGTTGTTGGAACATGACTGTACTACCTTTATCCGTTGGTGCTGTAGTTTGTACTGAGTTTAAACTATGATTATCCGGATAGATTTCTATCATTTTATCGGCCATATCTGCTAACTCCTCTAAAGTAACTGAATGTCCTGATAGGCTAAGAATTTGTCTTACGTTATGTGATAGACGCTGGAACAACATTTGTTTTACTAGAGGTTCTCCTAGTTTGTATGGCCCTGCTAATTATCTCATATGCCTTAACAGTTGTGATAGTCTTTTGTCTCCTAATTCACATGACCTTAACAATTGTTGTAATCTTTTTTCGTCGGAGACTGACGTGCGTTGTATAACAGCGGCTTTTATTTTGTCATATGGCTCGCTCTCTGGCACTTGGTCAATTTGATCCCCGAACTCGGCAGCGATTACTATAGGGACTGCGTCAACTACGTGAGCATATTTTGTAGCCCTCGAGCGTATTCCTCTAGCTATGAATAAGGTCTCTACTTGGGCGAACCTGACTCTCGGGTTATTAGCTCCGTATGCTGGGAATTTGAATTCACAGATAGTATTAACTGAACTTAAAACAGTGTCAGCTGAATTTGATAATGAATTGAGGGTATTTATTGGAGAACCGTCTTTAAATTTGTTTGGAGAGTACATTACATGAAAAATAAACCAACGGGTCAGGTAAAAAATAGGTAACATAGCGTTTAGAATAAACTCAGTGCTCACCAGATAATTGTGGTTGATCAATAAGTATATTACCTCAAAAATGACAATAAAGTTATTGCATCCAAATGGTAATGTTATAATCTATCAATTATAGGTTATAAACACAACTAAAAGTTAAAAGATGTTACTTAAATCGACAGGTTTGTGCGTGTTCGAGTTGCCTTTGGTACCAGAATCCACAATTATCGATGATATAGCCAGACGTAGAATATAATGGAAATGTGGCTGCAGTCTATAAATGTAGATGATAGGTATTTCAAAGTTCAGTTATCGTAACTACAGGCAATGGAGAACGAGAGACATGTGTATAGTAGTATATTTACAAGCAGTTAACAACATGTGTCATGCTATGAGTAATACAAAACGAAAGAATGTGAGTTCAGGGTCATACACTTAAACAACATGTGCAGTCATTTTGTGGTAAATATACAAACTGTGAAAATTAATAAAATAAGTGCAAATAATATCAAAAACTATTTACAAAATAAGTTTGTCGTGCCTATCTCCACACCCCGAGCCTTCGGCCTAGCGGTCTAATCCACAAGGCAGTGGAGCAACGTAAGGAGTCGTGCGTTCGTTTTTCGTATTCTCAATTTCGTAGACAACAGCGCCTCAAGAAGGTACTAACAAGTCTTTTAAGGTTATATCGTGTACTGCACAATATTCATTGTTGAATTTGTAAGTCAAAACCTCATGAACATGTGTTTCAGTAAAAACCACAAAACTATTTGTAGATTTAGGGTTGTTTTTGTATTCAATTTCGACTTTTTCGTCAGGGTTAAACTAGTCGATAACACTTATCATACAGTAACTATGTGCGAAAATTGTTCATTTGACATAAATGTTTTTTTCCAAATTAAATATATCTGATATAAAAGAGTTTGCTTAACAATCCAAACTGATAAATTTTATTTTCGATCTGTATTCATACTTCAGCTACTAGTTCTTACATAAACAATACTATTCAGGGTCGAATACAAACATTAAAAGTGCCATATTACTGACTATCGTATAAATTATTGATCGAGTTTTATCGTAGTTTATTTATCTTAATTAGACAACCATTGAAAACACTGGCCGACTGCTTCGTCTTATTATGTGGTTCCTTATAATAATGATGATCATGTGTTCACAAATAATTAGTCTGGAGAGGTAGTTCCTGGAGTTTTGGTGTGAAAATGTGGCCAAAGTGGCTCAAACATGTCGAGTAAGAGTCATTTATTCTGCCATAACTTTAGGAAATGGTAGTTCAATACCGCGAATCGATTGAAATTAGACATGTAAACCGTTGGATTTGTAGACCCAGTGGTTTAAAAGCTAATCACATGTCGCGATACCTGAAGTTTCTCGATTCGATCTCCTATGTGGTCGTGGGTTCACATTGTTGAGTATTTCTATACTAAGAAAAAACAACCATCCTGAGTTCAACAAACTCCATTGTTTTAATTCGTTTTCTTTTTTTTTTCTATTTGCTGTGCTTATATTCATATATTTATTATTAACACAGATCGTTTACCTAATGAACCATCATGTGTTTATTCCAATAAACTATGGGATATTATACCTATAACATATCTTTTACGATATGCTCGTGCACATTTATCAGATTATCGCTCTCTATATCCAAAATTATTACAGTAAGTTATTTTTATCTTAAACCTATTTCCTCTTTCCTATTAATAATTCGATTTTACTTGATTTACTGAAAGAAATTGATAAGAACGATGAAAAATTAGCTAATTCGTAGCTAGCTAGACTAAACCATCTTTTATAGATATCAGTGTTATTGATATGTTTTCTAAACGTACTATAACCTTTAGTTATAATTTCTAATATCTTATTTATTACTTCTGAGCTTTATCCAATTAGTCTATATTTTGAGGTGAGTATTGCGTAATCTATCTTGGATTATTTGTAATATTTAATCTATAAATAAGCGGATGTTTGGATAATGTTACTTCTTCCATATTATTGTTGTTACGATCATAATTATCACTATCGTTTCTAGGCTTATTATCCACGTATTCCTTTACCAATAGAGTACTTTGAAGTTCCTTCATTAGGCAATAGTTGTGCTGTTGTTGTTAATGCTATCTTGGTAACCAAAAGTAGTAGAATTAGATTGGTTAGACATTAACACAGCTGGATGATAGCTCAGTGGTTTAAAGACCCAGTGCTCTAACTCTAAACCGAATTTCCTGGGTTCGAGTCCCGTATATGGAATTGTGGTTGTGCACCTCTGAGAAGTCCCGCACCAGGACGAAACGGCCGTCTATTGCTTTCAGGTTTTCAACGGTGGTCTAACATTAATCGGTTCATGATTTGAATCAAAACTTAAAAATCTCCACAATCCTATACTGATAAAAATAGAGGTCATCAACAGTCTTTGTCTCCTGATGATTGCATCCTTCTTTTTAACATCTCTTTATCCAATATTTTTTATGCTTCTTGAGTGTAATGATAATTGCTTAATGCATTTTATTCTGTTCGATGATTTTGTGATTGTGTGCGTGTTTTTGCGTTGATTTGTGTGTGTGTGTGTAATAAGACCAACTTATGTTCACTCGAATTTCTCTCATATTTATTATCAGTTCTTTCTAAATAATGGATCAATTTCTGAACGGAAAACGAATAAAAAAAATTAACATAAATGGATGCAAACATTTCTTAATCCTTTTATCAGATTACGAAGCATCTATATATATATATATATGCTTTATTAAAATTTCTTGTCAGATGTGTTAATCGGGGGTGGTCGCTAGGAGAACCTGTTTGACCTAGGTTTTGTGTTAGTCGACACTCATCGGAACGGTGTACTCGCGATCTTGAGGAAACTGATGCTCCCTGTATGATTCAAACTTGGGTTACTCAGCTTAACATTCTGAGAATTTACCACTGAGCTATTTAGGTCCCGACTGACATCCTATAGGACTGAGTTGTTTGCAACTGATTAATCACTGAGTGTCGACTGACGTCATTCCTAATGCTGACTGAAAGGTATCGATCAAGTTACAATCCAAAGTATTTTCTAAATCGCTGAATCTCATTTATCATTTATATGCTTTCGTTTGTTTCTGATCTTGAAAAAATATATTTAGTAACAATAAAGCTCTCTCATTCATATGGAACAATGATGATATTGATTCTCCACATTCAACAATCATCGTTTAGAATCTTAGTCTTCAGTGTATACCTATGGACGCAACCTTTTTACAAAAGATTCTTGAATGAACAATTTGAGTATTATTTATTTTAATTTTCTTGTGAATTTTTAGTCCTATACAAATAAGTTGATGATTTTCCCGTTGCAAGAATTCCTTCTCATTATCAAAACATAACTGTCCCCCTAAGTGAATGATAATTGTTGTTTAACCATTTATAAGTAGGCACTTTCACCTATATAGAGAAATACATCTCAAGTTAGGTAAGGACAGTTGATTATCTGGAATTCTGTTGGTTTATTCACATTTGTTTAAATTACAGATGCCAAGAGATTCTAGATAATCAGGAGAAGAAATATTAACTTATCATTAATCAGTCAGGTATAATATATTTGTTATAATCCAGTCTTTCAACAATTTATATTCGCACAGTGATAATAATTGTGGTGAAAAAGTGTTATATTAAATTTTCGTCTACATACAATTTTATGATTAATTAGTTATGTTCTGGTCACATATTTCATTTTACTTCCTGATCGATATGTCACATTCTATTGACAATTTGAACTTATAATCCATTAAATTTTCATAAATAGTGCATCATTTATTTGTTTAAGTTATTTATTGAATTCATGGTATGGTGTGTGCTACTGATGTAGACAAATATAAGTAGTGTGTATCACCAATTGAAAGTGTAATGCCTGATGTCAGAAGGTTGAGAAAATCGAAGAGAAGAGAACGGGAACAGAGAGTGATTGGTAGGGAAAAGAAGGAACAACAAGATCTGGGACAATTGATAGACATTTTGCGAATGAATTATTACTGTATGGTTCTCAGATTTTAGTAATAGGTCCTGTAGTTTTCCGCTCAAATACATTTGGTTTTCCCCACTGATCTTCTCATCCACTACAATGGTTATCGAAACCTACATTGTTTTTTTTAATATTATTAGTGGAATTATGAAGAGAAAAATTATCACTAACTTATTTAATAAAACAATGTAGTTCTTCAACAGATTCATTCGTTACATTCCAAAGAAATTCACTGAAGAAGAATAAGTGTTAATATAACAAACCATCCGAAACAAATGTCAAAATGAACTTTTCATCCGTGTAAAGAAGGGATTGTATTTGTGTGCCTGAACGATTTATTCTAGTCTATGCCATTAAAGTATATATGTTTTTCTGAATAAACGATTTATTTATTTCAATCCAGATTGCTGTATAACTCTAGTCAACTTTGTAATGGTTATTTCAACGATTCAGAAATATCTTTTATGCCCTCTTTTAAAGATAAAAACAGTATGGAAGAATAAATCAGCTTGCGATAAAAAAAAAACTACACAAGTTTTTGCATAAAATTAAAAGATTAATGACTTTTGTCTTTCATTACACCAAATGATCTATCCTTGATCAATGTTAGACCACCATTGAAGACCTAGAGGCAATGGACGGCCATTTCGACCTTGTTGGGAACTCTCCAGCATTGAGAATCCATGATTTCTCACATGGAACTGGAACCTAAGACCTTCGATCTCGTGTGAATACTTAACCTCTAGACCACTTGACCGGAATCCAACGATGTTTAAGACCATCCTTGCTTCGGTTTGAGCGCCTGGGCAGTATCCCAGCCTTTACACAAATCGAATGATTTGTGCTGTGCATATCTATTTGATACCTTGTACCAATCATTAATAGGCGATCGTTTTATTTTTATAAAGACTTCTATGTTATATCTCTTAATTTATATATATTTGTTTGTCCAGATTGGTTACAAATCATTTTCCGCATTTAACTATGGGTGAAATGATGATACAAGATGAATTATTACTTGATTCAATATGGAGATCTGAACACGAACCTATTCGTGTTCTTTGTATTAACAAAGCTGAAACGAATTTATCACCGGTGAATAATACAACAACAATCGTAACATCGAGAGTAATGACGAACCAAACAAATTTTGTTTATCAACAATCGAATTATCCTTTGCCGTTCCGTGAAGAACAATTAAATCAAGGTTAGCCTTTTTTGCATTATTTTCCAACTTTGTCTTCGACGCTGTATGAGGTATGAGATTGGTTGTCGTAGTTGATCATATTGTGGGTAGGTACTTCTTTATAAAATACCTGGAAAGAAAACCGAGTTAGGGAGTGGTTCTTATGACTTAGGAGTATAACAGAAGACTCCAAGGACTAACTTCTTGGGGTCAGTCAAACATACCACTTTTGTGAGTAGTTCTAGGTGTGTTATCTCTCTACTTTTTAAAACCTACCACTGAGAATGGGAATCTGCGGGCTGAGGTGAGGTTTGCAATTATTAGGGGGGACCTTTTCAAACCTCTTCCTTCTGTTGTGAGGTGGCAGAATTTCTGGGGATGTTGTTGGTCATCTGAGGGAAGCATCTTATTAGTGCCACACCCCTGTACAGTTTGCACTACAATATTGGCTTCAATCCTTAAGTGCCTGCTTTTAAACTTACGTCCCCCCAACCAACATACCTACCTCGATAAAACCTGAAGGGATGAGTGTTCTAGACAGCATAACTTTATCGGGTCACCACAACACTGAAACCTGCCCACCACCTCAATGTTGTTGCTACGGTTGCGTTTTTATCTTACTGGAATTTTACAGGTTATTTTTCGATATTTGTCAGCGTAATCGAACTAGCCGGTTAAATGTACAAATACTAATTTGGAAGTTCGTTCATTTGGTATTGGTGTTTTTTTATTTTTCAAATCACTTACTCATGTGACTTTAGATTGTTGATATGTTTTGAAACCTAGATGTTGAAATTTCTGATTGTTTGTTTCAAATCGAATCACTTTTGAGTACTAAAATTCATGATGATAATTGAATTATGAACTATTGTAACCATTCTGTGATTCACTGAATAGTAATGCTACAATCATTTGAAATCAAGCCCCCAAATCAATTTGATTACTTATTTTCTAGTATAATAATTATGTTGATTTTCATAAATGTTTCTCAATGTTTTCTTGTGACTTCTTAGTTGATATATATGATATCTTTCGCTGTTATTTTAGTATGAGAGCTATTTTTAGTTGATTCATTCAACTTCAAGTTATTGTAATGAAGTAAGCTCAGTAGCTGTGTATTGGAGACTAAACCTACTTAAAAAGTAGTTCTCGTCAATAGCTGAAATCGACTGGTGAACTGTTAGAACATATATAGCGTATGCTTATCCATCCCTCAACTTGACAGGCGATGTCTTCTGGTGTAAGTGTATATTGGAAGAATTCTAGATGCGGTTAAACTAAAACGTATCATCAGTACACAAGATCATTAACCGTTGATCTGAATCATGTTGGTCAGATCCACACGGTTATCATAATCAATAGCTGGAGACATTGTATAACATGGTTCCGAATAGTTCACGATGATGTAAACACATCTACTCTTTGTCTTTCCTCTAGAACCGATGCATTAATGTGACAGCTTCTGCGTTGTATGTAACCGACTAACTGAAAATCATCATTGTTACGGACTGTTGAATAGCTCCAAATTAGGATTTAGTAAGCGCTTATCATATACATTGGCAACTTAGTTGACACCAATCCAGGATATGGATATCACTTTCAAATCACTCAAGGTTCTCAGAAAATCACGAAGGACAATTATAACCGTTCATTCACTGGTGAATAGGTTTGTGGTGCGTTTTTAAGTAGTTTAAATGGTTGACAGTAACTCATCAATGCACTGCATTTATGAGTGTGCTGACTAGCCTAGGAGTATAGTCTATTCGTTAACGCTTAGAGATATTCATCAATATATCTTGTAAATAATTACATTAAATATTAATTCTATCAGTTGTATAATCATATATACTATTGTAAGTTTTATATACATAAAATAATGAAATCGATTACAATCTTAAAGCTTTTATTTAGTTTCTATTAAATGATTATAATTTTAATAACTAACTAACATCAGTATGAGCATCATCAAAGTCTATAAGTCAGTGAACAGATGTTTTCGGTCCTAGTTCGAAAGCACCATACATCAACGATCGTATACGAGCTGACTAGTTTTTTTTTAAAAATCAACTTATGCCATTGTATATTAAAGTATGTAGTCAGCTGTAGGATCTAGAACATTTATTTCATCGAATTTGAAACTCGTTGGCTGGATATATGTCCACCCTATTGTCGATATTCACTCTGAAATGTCATTCGAACTGCTTAAGATACAAATATAACAACAGAAAATGATCAGAAAAATAGTTTTTAATATTAACAACGGAAAATTACAAATTCTGGCATAGAGTTCAAAGTGTAGTAATGTTAATTGCAATTCATGTTATGTATTAAACTGTTTTTATTTGTTCTTCTTTTTTTCTTTACTTAATTATCAAGTTTACTTATCACTTATTGTGATATGCTTAGGTACTCTTCCCCTTTTCTTGTATCACATCACTTAACATACTGATATTTATAAATGGTAGGCGTGTGTTCTATTCCTATAAATGAATATAATTATGCTTATTCATTAGGGAAATCTTTTATTTATAAAACAAATTATTAAATTGTAATTCGTCGTTAAGTAAAATAAGTTTTTTATTGACTGTAAGAAACATAAAATCTAGTCAATATTATTGTCATTACAAGAATTATTCCAACTTATTTGACTTTGTCAACATTTGGTCCTTTATTAAAACATAATCAACTATAGATGTAACCATATAACAATGAATTTTCGTATAGATATTGACATATTTTAAATTAATTTTATTTCATTTTAGTATGTGGAGATTGCACAATGCTGACTAGTGTTGGGAATAGTTGGAAAAAAGTTAGGGGTGACCAACTCAAAATGTGGCATCAGTGCTTTAAGTCACTAATTTTTAATGTGAGCAATGTTGGGGTCCACATGATTATCGTAACCAATGGTTAGGGACACTAGGTGACATGGCTCAGAATCGATCACAATAGAGTAGACGTATACACTCTTTGCCTTCCCTTAAACGGTGAAATTAAAATTATTTCATATTTTTCTTTGTACGAACTAATTCTTTTTTCCCGTACTATATCCTTATCTGCGATCTTTCCTTTATATATTACTACCACTGAATTAACTACTTCTATGAATTTGGTGTTCATCTTGTTGTGTTAATGAGGTATGGCAACTTGAACCGATGCACATATGTGCCTGGTCCTGCGTTGTAACTGACTGATGTAAAGATTGATAATATCTGGTATATTTCATCTTAGAAAGTTTTATAACTGATAGTACATTACATGAATCTTTGTTCAATGAAGAATACAATGCATAGGTTCACACGATCTCTCTCTCTCTCTCTGCGGTTTTTATAGAAGTAAAATGGCACCATGAAGTTAGCAATGTGAATGTTGACAGTATAGAAATGACTGAAAAAAGTTAAACTAGTTTAGTAAATAATAAGCTTTCACTCATTGAATTTCTTGAAATACATTCTGCTGAGTCGTTTCACCAGTTCATTAATTGATTGAAGCAAAATAAAACGACATTTTTTGTAATCCACGATTGAGTAGTATCGACAGTAAAATAATCTGTCGTCAAATAAAGAAAATCATTCATTTTGACTTTTAGGTAAAAAAATTTTTTCATTTTTATATTGGTTGTTTGAATCTTTTTATTGATGTTTAGGACTTCAATTAATCAACTCTACCTATATTACTTGTGAATTAAGACAATATTGTGACAATCCGCATAGGATGCACATTTGCCAATAAGAGACAGATCAATTGTGGTCCTAAACATCAATAAGAAGATTCAAATAACCAACACAAAAATGAATTAAACCATCCCATTGCACAAGCTAGTGGCTATGTGGACTCAGTAGCTAAGTTTCTAACACGATGGAGTTTGAAACGAACGGTACCTAGTTCTTGTCCCAAAGTGAACATCAACTCTGGAATGCAGGTGCATTCAATTGAAGAGCCCCAAAATAGGAGGAAACGCCCGTCGTGGATTCCTCTACTAGTCACCATCTTTGTTTTTATTCAGGCTAACTGATCAACATTTGATCTCATTTGATAGCGATCATTATCAAAAAAAGAATAAATACTTAATCCTAAATTCTAATTTATTGTAGTCACTTACTTAGTGAAAAATTTCTTCAATTTCCAATTCAACGCTTCTTAGAAGTATCAATCAGTTTGATGTAAAACACGCTATTTAACATTGGTTATCGTATGCAATAGTGTCCATTCACTTGATCAATTTTTATTTAGTTTATTTCTAATCCCTAAATACCTTTATATGCGATTATGGGCCACTTATTGTTATTCCTTCTTGTATATCAGGTCAATGATATGAAACATTCCTTCGTTTTTTCCCTTTTTCTTGCTCTGTTGATTTTGTAATGGATATATATATATAACCGTTATTTCGTGTTTCCTCGGTTTCACTGTATAAATTTACACACGTTTACAAAGGTTTTAAACTTTGTGTAGAGTAGGCAAAATGACATGTATTTGTCAAGGTCATGTTCTATATTTATGCATCTATATTTTCTTTTTAAATAAATAAATAGAATAGTAGATACATTCTATAGACTGTATATTGTTGATTATTTTTCCTGTATAATAAAAGTATTGTGGAAGTGAACTTTATTTGACAATTGTGTTGTCAAATTTTATGTTTACCCTACTAAAGAATCTCAGTTTTGCTTGTATTGTACTGATTATTTAAAATTATGTATAACAAATATAGATATATATATATATATTTTGATGTTGTAAACTCTTTATTGTTGGCTATGGAGATTTGTTTAAGAGATGTTCTTTGACAAGTGTCGTATTGACTCAAATATAGATGTCAGACCACAGTTATTCACTGATCTAGATTTACCTTTTGATTTTTGAGTTTAGAACTATATTCTCATTGTCATAACTATATGTTATGTTTTTTTACTTTGTCAATTTCATCTTGTCGTTCTAATGTATTATGTCACGGTGGGCACCCGAGCATTATCACAGCCCTCACACATATCGAATGAGATCTGTGTGGCGCATATGTATTTAGTGTGTCCTTGTACCAATATCTATGTGTTAAAGTAAATAAATAAATAAACGGTGGGTCAAAGCAAATTTGTGCTTGACTTAACGTTAGTTATCTGACTGACTGGTTTATTCAATGTCCGTATAGAACAGTAATCTTATTGGTTAGTTGTCTTGTTAAAACATGGTTGCACTTATAATAATTGGCCTTTATTTGACTCTAATGTTCTTCTTTTTGTTTTACTCTCTTGTGTTTACCAAACATATAAATAATAATATTTATCTAGCATTTGAACAAGTAATTTCAAAGCTATCAATATCTATTGAACAGCCAACAACATTGAATAATCTGTCTGAAATATGTCCATTATGGAAAAATCTTATTTATATGATTAATCAATTGATACAATCAATAGAGATATTCGGTTTAGATTGTTTATTAAATTTTGGTCCAATCTTAGCTGAACAATGTCCAAGACTACTATTATTACAAGGTAATGGTGGATTTTTAGGCGTCAATCGTAAATTTGTACATTCTATGGAACTTTTATGGAGACGTTTACATTTGATTATGCCAAGACGGTAAGTATGCATTTTTTTCTTTCTTTGACTTAATACCTCTGTTTGTTGAGGTTGTTTAATCTTCATGTATAACTAAGAAGAATGGAAGTAAATGTATTGATTTACATGTAATTTTCATTCAGCTGACTTTTTGTATGAATTCAATGTGTTTTTTGTTCTGCATGAAATTCAATCTAATTTTTCGTTTATTCAATATACTATTTATTTGCATTCATTTTTATGTAAAGCTTATTCAGTATGACATTTTCTTTAACTCAGAATCGTTGAATTTAATCTTTACACAATGAAATGAGTTTTAATACCAATTGTGATGATTTTAGATCTCTGTATTCCATAATGTTACAAAGCAAGTTTGAAATTCTTTCTGGAGTTAACGGGCAAGGAATGAGTTTTGTCCATTGTTATCGAAGTTAGAATTAGAAATCATATGGTTAGCCCACAGACGTGTTATTTTTACTGTCTACCTAGTTTTTGTTTCCATCTATGATTTATCCTTTCTAAAAATAATGCTTTAGTCTTTGCTTTGTTACTTTTTTTCAGCTGTATTGGATAGGTTATTGAATTTGATGTACAAGTAGTTCATATATTAGTGTATGAGGAGTGTATTTTTTTCAGTCAAGTATTTTATGTAGTCACGTTTTAAGGAGGAATAGTTTCATAACTATATTTGTATCTTCAGCATGGTGTTATTGAATTTCTTTGAAATCACGAATTGATCCAAGTTAGATCACCATTGAAGACCTGGAAGCACTAGGCGGCCATTCCATCCTAGTATGGGACTCCTTAACAGTGTGCATCCACGATCCCACACGCAAGAATCGGATTCATATCCCTCGATCTCTCATGCAAACGCTTAATCTCTGTTGGTTATAGCCATTTCATTTCATAGTATTGTAAATTTTTATTAATACACTAAATTAATTAGTTTTAAATAATATTCAGTTCAATTAATTCGAAAGCATATACAGCCACTCCCAAGGAAGTTCTACTCACTTCGTTCTCCCATCGCAGGTGTTTCTTACGAGATTTAGAGGAGGAAAAGTGAATGTTTGACGCCTTAGCCGGGTTGGTGGGTACTCCGTACCCACCTAGCGGAATTGAAAAACCCTGATTCCAAACCGATAATTCACATGGTCTCCAGGATCCTGAGGGAACAAATAGCGTATGAACACATTGTTGATCATTGGCTATCATAGGACTACATCTTCCAACGTTGCTCCATTGCCTTGTGGACATTCAGACAATTCCTACTGGCAATTATTTGATAACATTCGTTTTTATTTCTTTCATACTATGTCGCTTATTTACTCTCTTCAATTCTAATTTTGTGTATTCATATTTTCCAACTTATAAAACAGTTCACCTATGGTGAAAACCCTGTTCTATCTAAACGATTTCGAGTCATCGACTGGTTGAAAGTTAAATGCTACCACAGAATACGAATACTGAAACAGTTTTTCTGTAACAACGTGCACCATTCAAACTGGCTTCCTTCAATTTTCGCACACTTATGCAGACCGGACAATAGATAGGGCTGGCTATGTCTTTAGAAAGTCATAAGATCGACGTCATTGCTAATAAACCACCTGGCGTCCTCCCTCTTAATCCCATGCCTGGATTCAGATTGATCACATCGCGAACAGCTACCGCTGGCGTAGTTGTGTACAAGACTGATGCTCCTTCTGGGGTACCTATCTGGACTCTGATCATTCCCTTGTTTACGCTAATCTTACCTTACTTTTCAGTGGCCAACAAATTCATCATCCTAAACGGATCGATATCAGTAAATTGGTTACAGCTTCTGTCAGTCAGTCAGTCAGTAACAACGTAGAACTTCGTACGTACGTACATTAGTTCGAGTTGCCACACCACATGAGCACAGAGATGCACTTGTCGATTCAAATCCCGTAGTGGTAGAGGTAATAAGAGTATAAGCAGTAATCGGGAAGATTAGGGTTTGGAGATGTTATTTAAAGAGTATAATACAGTGAAAAAAATTTGAAAAGAGGAAAAAAGGGACATGAAGAATTCAGAAGATTAGAATTTGGGAGAACACAAAGAGTGTATGCACCTGCGCCATTGCAAACGATTTTGAGCCATGTCATTCAGGGTCTCTAACCATCGGTTGCTGTCATCTCGCGGTCCCCAACCAGGTAGTCTACACCTACCAACATGACTCAGTCTACTTATCAGTGACTTCATGGACTTGTGCCATGTTTTGGTTTGGCCGCCCCTAGCTTTCTTCCAACCTACTCCTATACCACTGAACATAGCACGTCGAGGTGGTCGGTCGTTGGGCATACGTAACACGTGTCCCAGCCATCTCAACTGATGAAGTTTCACTACGTCATCAATTGATTTGCCATCTTTACCTAGTACCCGTTTCCTAACAACTACATTACTTACTCGATGGTCCCAGGATATACGAGCAATGTTTCGAAGACACCTATGATCAAATACTAGTAACCTACGAATATCCTCTACTCTTACCGGCCATGTTTCACTGCCATAAAGTAGGACGGGACGAACTGCTGCTCAGTAAACATGTCCTTTGGTTGATAGACGGATATCTCGCCTACGCCATAAATGACGCAAGTTGGCAAAAGCTAGTCGAGCCTTCTGTATCCGTGCTGAGATTTCGTCACACACTAAACCACAAGGGCTGATGAGACTTCCAAGATAAGTGAAGCGGTCGACACACTCAACTACTTCACTCCCTATCACTAGTTCGGGTGTCGATGTAACCCAATCCTGAAGCAACATTTTGCATTTCGAGGTGGAGAATCGCATCCCGAACATGCTTGCATTGTTGCTTAGAGTGGTCATAAGACTCTGCATTTTGTCAGCGTCTTCACCAAATAAAACTATGTCATCAGCATATTCTAAGTCAACAAGTGAACCTCCTGGTAGAAGTTCAACCCCTGTAAATTTAGATGAGGAAAGTGTTATCTCTAAAAGTACGTCAATGACAAAGTTGAACAAGAATGGGGAGAGTGGACAACCCTTACGAACACCAGTTGATGTAATCAATTCTGATGACAGTTCGCCATAAGCTCTCACTCGACCAGTTGTGTTCGAGTAGAGAGACTTTATAAGGTTAATGTACTTCTTTGGTACTCCTTTCAGTGACAAACACTGCCATAGAACCTCACGATCAATAGAGTCGAATGCCGCCTTAAGGTCGATAAATACTACCATTGTGGGGCGTCTGAATGTGTGTCTGTGTTCTAGAACCTGACGTAGTGTGAATATCTGATCTATACAACCACGTCCAGGTCGAAAACCGGCCTGGTTTTCTCTAGTCTTCTCTTCACGAGCTTTAGTTAGGCGTCGAAGTATGATTGAGGCTAATATTTTAGACACTATATTAGTCAAACTGATTCCTCTGTGATTGTCACAAGAGGACTTTTGTCCTTTCTTATAGACTGGCACAATCAGTGATTGAGTCCAGTCAGATGGGATTACGTCCAGTTCCCAAATTCTACCTAAGACCTCGGTTAATCTCATTGCTAATACTGGACCACCATCCTTAAAAATCTCAGGAGTAAACCTGTCAGGGCCTGCTGCTCTCCCTCGTTTCAGATTTCCTATGGCTTTTTCAACTTCGTAAAGGGACGGAGGACCTACATTAACTTGCCATTCAGGTTGACTGGAGATCGTTAGAAACCGAAATGTGGCTGAAGGCCAGTTGAACTGATCCCTAAAGTGTTCTGCTCATCGATCCAATCTCCTGGATTGAGAATGAATAATACGTCCATCTTGCTCTGAGATTGTTTCGCTAACGGTCGGGTTCCTAATTCCGGTTTCCTTAACGAGTCTAAACAATTGTCTGCTATTACCTATTGCCGCTGCCTTTTCCATCTCTCTTGCTTTCGCTACCCACCACTGTTCGCGATCATTGCGTCGACTTCCTGTCAGCTTGCGCTTAAGCCGACTCCGTTCAGAGCCAGGTGGAATGTGTTTCCGAGCATTTATCAGTGAGATAGATGCTGCTGAGATCCAGTGTTGCTCCCTAACCTTCTGGTTTACCTTACTAGCAGATATCACTGCTGTTTCCACAGCTTTTCGGATATCATTCCATGCTGCATCGAGGTGGGCATCACATACATGGCTATCTAACTGTTTTCCTAGTTGTTCCTGAAATATACTCTTAGCTTGACTATCATTAAGTAGGGCCCTAAGAGGTTTCCTTGCAAGATCTTTCCTACGTCCAGTAAGACGCAAGCAAACGCGCGCTCGCACTAGAGCATGATCTGTATCTAAGCATGTGCTCCAGAACGAGCGACAGTCTTCTATCGAGCCCCTCCATCGGTGGCTGATAGCGATGTGATCTATTTGGGTCCAACGTTGGGACGAATTAGGGGGTCGCCATGTTAAAAGATGATTATCCTTATGCTTAAAGTTAGTATTTGCAAGGAACAGGCGGTTATCTGAGCATAGCTGCAACAGACGGTCGCCATTATCTGTTCTTTGAGCCACGACACCATAGGATCTACCTAGGTGTCTTTCCTTATCGCTTAGTTTACCTACTTGAGCATTGAAGTCACCGGCCACTATTACTACATCCGAGCGCCTAGCTTTTCGGAGAAGGTCCGACAGCTTTCTGTAAAACTCATCTTTTACATCATCTGAGCTGCAGTCAGTGGGAGAATAGGCAGAGACGACGAAGAGGCAACGACGAGTGTCCCTATCTTTCCGGATTCTTACTGTTCCGTTCAGTCGGACAGCGCACAAACGACTGTTTACTGGGATCCACTCTAAGAGAGCTAGTTCTGCCCTAGGACTCAATGCTATACCTACGCCGGCGAGGCCACGGGAAGCAGAATCAGGGCTTCCAGATACACGAAGCGTAAATCGAGTCGGTTCTTTATTTTGGCATGGTGAGGTCAAATGAATGACGCTACTCGGATCCTGTATGCGCGTTTCGGAGACGCAGCACACATCGATGGCACGAGATTCTAAAGTTTTAGCTAAGGAAGCCTGCTGTCCTATTTGGCAAA